ATTAGAAAGAAAATCTTCTTTCATTTTCTTTTTTTAAAAAATAAAATATTTCTCCACAGATGAGATGAAGGAACTCACAGAGCCTGTGATTGCTATGATTTCAGAAGAAAGAAGAACCATGAAGTTCCTGACCTTTCAGGGAGTAGACCGGATGTGGGGGAAACTTGGTGGTAAGAAGCTGATATTTAAACCCATATGAAGTAATTCTTAATTTAGACTCTAGGGGTATTTGGAATAATTTTCAATTAGTTATGGTAATATCTCACGAGAAGGTTCAGACAAGAAAGTGGGAAAGAGGAGGTCAGAAAAAGTTTTGAGAAGGATTAAACTGAAAGGAAAATTTGAAGACTGAGTTTAAGTAGGCTTCAGTGATTATACATATTACCTATACAACAAAGGAACATAGCTTTACAAACCAGACACAGCCTTCCAAAAGAGTGATTTAGAGAAATTATAATGGACATAAAAGTATAAAACATAAGGGGAAAACTTGATAAATTTAACCACATTAAAATTAAAAATGCAAACTCTTAATCATTAAAAGATACCACAAAGAGAGTGATAAAGCCACATCCAAAAAGAGGATATGTTAATACAAAGAGTTGACAAAAAACTCCTGTCCAGAATACACAAAGAATTCCTATTTATGAGAAAGAAAGAAATGAAAATAAAATGAGAAAAGACACAAATTGACAGTCCTTAGAAGTAGAAACACAAATGACCATAAATATATAGAGTACTGTTTAACTGTACTATCAGAGACATAAAAATTTTAGCCACAAAGCCAGTATTTCACATAAACCAATTTTGGTGGCTCAGATGGTAAAGAATCTGCCTGCAGGAGATCCAGGTTCACTCCTTAAGTCAGAAAGGTCCTTTGGAGAAGGAAATGGCACCCATTCCAGTATTTTTGTCTGGGAAAACCCATGAATAGAGGAGCCTGGCAGGCTACAGTCCACGGGGTTGCATAAAGTCGGACTTGACTGAGCAACTAACACTTTCACTTTTTTTTCACAGTTTGGTAAAACTATGTGTGCAACTGGATTATAGAAAATATTGATGAGGATTTGAAACAATGGAGGCCTATTACCCATTGATAGTGGGGCATAAATTGATAGAACTATTTTGGGAGAAAAGTGGAATTACTAGTAAATTTGGACAGCTTCAAGCCATGCTACATAGCATCTCCTCTCTTTGGGACATATCCTGGGTAAACTTGCATCTGTGTCCTGGATCACATGAGCCAGACACCAGAATATTCACAGTAACAACACCAGTATTAGTAAAATACAGGGGAAAACCCTAAAAGCTCAGCTCAGCTAAATGAGTAAATAAACTGAAGCATTCATGAAATAAAACAGTAATTGCCAGGAAACAAAAATTCATCCATATTAACAGGAAAGACTCCCAAACTTACAATGGCTAAAATAGGAGTATGTGTGTATGTGTGTGTATTGGTCACTTAGTCACATCCAACTCTTTGAGAACCCATGGACTGTAGCCCGCCAGGTTCCTCTTTCCATGGAATTCTCCAGGCAAGATTATTGGAGTGGGTTGTCATTTCCTTCTCCAGGATCATTTTCCTTCTCTTCTCTACCCAGGGATCGAACCCAGGTCTCCTACATTGCAGGTGGATTTTTTTTACCATCTGAGCCACCTCAGAAGCCTAAAATAAGAATATATGATCACCCTATTTATATAAAAGTGCAAAGCCAACCAAAACGAGGCAATTTATTAAATACAGACACATAAGTAGGTGGCAAAACTACAGAGAAAAGCCAGGAAATAGTAGAGATAAAACTCATGATTAGTGTTACCCCTTGTAGGGAGGAAAAGAAATGAGTAAAGATAGCTTAAGGGTGACAAAACTGTTGGTTTGGTATTGGCTACACTGGTGCTTGTTTCATTGTTATTATTTAACTGTTTAAATGAATCCCATATGCTTTTTAATTTTTGATATGTTTCAATATAAAAATTCTCCCCAAATCAGTAAGCTGCAGAAGAGAAAGAACAGTGCAAGTTATAGATTGGGATGATAAGACGTATATATATCCTGTTGGATGATGCAAACATCTCTCTTCTAACTCAATCCTGCTGTCTCTCAAGGAAGAGATATCTCTCAAAGAAGTTGCTCTCTCTCTCATGAAAATTCTTTTTTTGGCCCAACCATTCCAACATCCCAGTCAGCCCCACTCTACCTACGCATTCCAGGTTAAAGACCTTAGTATTTCATGAAAAACTATAGCAAATAATCAGACTCCCCCCTCTTCAGTTTCTAACCAGCTCACCACGATCCGTTTCACTGGTGAATTATATGTATTCATTCAGTCTACCACCCAGATACAATTCTAGCTAAAGCAGATAAGAGATAAGGGCATCAAAATTAATTTTGCCTACTCTGATCATCAGAATTTTGGAAGTACTTGTTAGGAAGATGGGTTTGAATCTGATCCAGTGTAGTTTGCTACCTAACATTTAGTAGTTTTGGAGAAGGAAATGGTGACCCACTCCAATATTCTTGCTTGGGAAATCTCATGGACAGAGAAGCCTGGCAGGCTACACAGTCCATGCAGTCTCAAGAGTCATTTGCGATTTAGTAACTAAGCAGCAGCAACATTTGGTGGTTTAATTTACTTACATGAACTAGAATCCTCATTTGTAAATGAGGATTCCTAATTCCAAACTCTTAGTGCTATGATGAGAATGCATACAAAACCGCAGAGCATGTTATCTGCGCTGTGTGCTGCTGGGCTTAGTCACTGAGTCATGTCAGACCCTTTGTGACCCCATGGACTGTAGCCCACCAGGCTCCTCTGTCCATGGGAATTCTCCAGGCAAGAATACTGGGGTGGATTGCCATGCCCTCCTCCAGGGAATCTTCCCAACCCAGGGATTGAACCCACGTCTTCCACATTACACACAGATTCTTTACCATCTGAGCCACTAGGCAAGCCCATGTTATCTGGGTAAAACTTCAATGACAGCTTTAAAAGAAACTGTCAGATTTGTTTCAACTAGCCTGTGTATATACAGTATGTTTTATGCGGAGTTGTTTTTTTTTTTCAACTTTAGATTAACTGGATTTTGCACTATGGATGGTGATTTTTATAAAGTCTGCCATAGGATTAATCTGTGTTTGTGTGTTCACAAAATATAAATGATATGTAGTAGTAACTGTTTAAAATTGCTCAGCACTAAGAACTGTAACCCCTTTATCTTCTACTTTGCACATTCTGTACCATTTCTTCCTGCCTCAGTTATTTTTGCATTGCCAGAGCTGTTTTTCTGTGTTAGAGCACACATCAGGGGATTGCAGAGACTACTTAATCCCTTAGTTTGCAACCACTTGAAGTTCAGTCCTCATTCTGTCTTTAACTACTCTGGGACCTTTGTTTAAAATTCAGTAAATCTCAGAAGTTTTACTCTGTCTTCAATACATTCAGCGGCATGTCTGTTGCCAATTACTTATCACCAGGGAATTGCTTTGACTTGTGTCTGCTGCACTATTCTGCTCTCTTGGTTTCTGCATTACATCTTCATCTCTTAACAATGACCTCTCTGTTCCACTTTTGAGCCGGGATGGCCAGTTGAAGTTTATATCTATTCCTTCTGGCAGAAAGAAAATCTAAGAGCTAGTCCTGTTACAGAGAGTCCTGAACTCAATTGATATGTCCTTTAAAAACTGAGGATTTTCCTCTCTAAATATTTTATAGTAATGATAGTGGAAGAAAAACAAATACAATTCAAAATGACCTAAAGATTATTATTTTTTTTTTCCCAAGTAAAGAGAAAAGAGATAATTTGGTAAAACCCTATAGTCAGGTCATCAACGTATCTCCTGTGCCTGGCACAATACTTGGTATGTGGTCTGTTGTAAAACAGCTATTTAATAATATTCATTAATTTGAACAAATTAATACATTTGCATGAATTAATAAGGGCTTCCCTGGTGGCTCAGCGGTAAAGAATCGCCAGCAATTCAGGAGCCACAAGAAACACTGATTCAATCCCTGGATCAGGGAGATCCCCTGGAGGAGGAAACAGCAACCCACTCCAGCATTCTTGCCTGGAGACTTCCTATGGACAGAAGAGCCTGGTGGGCTGCAGTCTGTAGGGTTGCAAACAGTTGGACATGACTGAAGCGACTTAGCACTCACTCATGCATGAATTAATAAAGTTCATGCATATGTGAACAACAAAGGAAATATTTTATCCTCAACCTTGACATGACCCTGAAAACCCTGATTAACGAGAAAATGTGTGAGTCCCTAGGAATTCTTGTCAAGGTAATCTTTTCAAAACACTTTTTATTTGAGAATAGTTTTGTATTTGCAGGAAAGTTGAAAAACTAGGACAGAGTTTACATAAAGCCTACACCTTGTTTTCCCTGATCACATGTGAGTGCTGTCCACTTGCCACAACTAATGAACTAATATTTATACATTATTAGTAACTAAAGTTAACACCTAATTTGGACTTTCTTTGTTTTTAATTAATAGGTTCCAAGATCCTACCAAATGACGTTTCCTTCAAAGTGACACTGACGATTTGACTCCTATTTCATTGGCAAAAACAAGCTCTGCAACCATACCTTGCCCTGGGAAGACAGGGAACTGCAATTTTACAAAGCTTGTGAAAGTCTGAAGAAAGAAAAATATATTGGTCAACAGGATTAAATGATCACTATAAGTAATAGTAATTCACATATGTACTACATTTTTACAGTTCAGAAAGTTGCTCCAGGATGTTTATCAGTGTTCATTTTAAGGTTAGAGATAAGGTAGTAGAGACTTTGGGAACAGAAGAATCCAAGGTTAAATAGCTTGTCTAGAGTTGCTCAGCTAACAGCCAGCCAAAATTCAAACCCCAAACTTCAGACAATGATCTGATAAAAATACTCTTCCCTGTAAACCAAAAATGTCTCCTGATTTTGTTTGCAGATTTTGGTTCTCATTTACCTAGCCAGAAGAAATCCAATGCACTACAGCAGAGATCATTGAATGTTTCCATGCAGAGAAGATGGTAAATTGTTGAGATTGTGCTGGCTACATGATCTCTGTCAGGACTATTCAATTTTGCTATTGTACATCAAAAGCAGCAAAGTTCATTTTAAAGTGTTAGTCCCTCAGCTGTGTCTGACTTTTTGTGATCCCCTGGACTGTTGCCCACCAGGCTCCTTTGTCCATGGAATTCTCCAGGCAAGAATATTGGAGTGGGTAGCCATTCTCTTCTCTATGGGATCGTCCCGACCCAGGTCTGGAACCCTGGTATGGAACCCAGGTCTCCTGCATTGCAGGCAGATTCTCTACTGTCTGAGCCGCCAGGGAACACCTAAAGTTAGAGATAAAATAGCAGCAACTTTGGACAGAAGAAAATATGAGCAAATGAATGTGTTCCAATAAAACTTTACAAAAGCAGAGGGTAAACTGGACTTGGGGAGCAGGCCATAATTTGCCAATGGCTCTCCTAAAAACTGGAGAAATTTACATAGCCATCTGTGATATAGTGATATATACAGTCTGTGATATCTACAACTCAAGACTTGTTGATTTGTTCATCCCATTATTCCTTAAGACTCTTTCTTTATGAGTGTTTTTTTTTAAATTATGGTTTGCATCCTAAAGAGTAGTTTCTGTTCTTTGTTAATCTTGTGTTAACATCATTCTGTATCTCATTGTAACTTATGATTATCTCTGGTCTGACAGGGTTGCTTACTTGTCTCCTAAGGAGAGTATATGCAGATCAAAATATTTTGAGACCACACTTAGGGATACAAGGAGTTGAAATAAGATAGATACAGGGTCAGGGACAATTAAAACTACAAAGAGTTAGCAATGCACATGCTGAAGTTTCAAAAAAATAAATCATAAATCTTAAAACCTTTCCATACAGATCTGTGCTGCTTTTATCCAAAGACACTCTAAGTTTTTACCTAATCTACCCTCTACTGAACTATGTAATGGGACACTTTGAAAAAAGTGTCCATTTTGTTATTTTTTTCCTTTTGTTATTTTCTGTGATTTTAAAAAATATATAGATAAAAGTTCTGTGTGGTCTTTATCATATACATCATATCAACAAATAATGGGAGAAGTTAAAAAAAATGCTATAGGGGATTTTTGAAAGGCTTTCAGGCTGTATGTATATAAATTACTTTCCCCTCTTATGTAATCACAATAAAGGAGTTGGATTGAAACTTTAAAATATTTTTAACTATGGAAATACATTTATATACAGTTTGTGAATAACAGCATGCTTATATGTAAATAATACATATGTTTATATATTTCTATGCATATGAGCACATGCATATCTATAGATAAAGTTAGAAGTTTAAAAGGAATTCAGGTTGGTGGGGTGTAAAATCTAAGATTTCCAAGTGCTTCCCATATGTGTAGGGTGTACTTAACACAACTAAATATTTTATAATGATTAATGAGCAGGAGAATATTCTCTTTTTAAAGCATTCCCTGGGCTTGCTAAGGGCTGTACTTAAGCTCCTCTTATATTCTGATACTTGTTCAAATGACTGAATAGAACCCCTTTAGGACTTGGTCTCAAATCCAGCTATAACAATTTGGTGGATTAAGATTGACCTCAAGTTCTTTGCAGCATCTTGCAAGAAGAAGTCCCTTTCCCCAGCCCTTGACTTTGGTTTGACCTTGTGATACATTTTGACCAGTGGGAGTGATTTTGTACAGCTTCTGAGGTGGGCATCAAGAAGCCTTATGGCTTCTGCACTTGTCTCCTTGGAACACTGAGCCTGTGTGGAGAGAAGGGCCAGACATCAGTTAGCCTCAATCACAAGACATATGAGTGAAGCATTCTTGAAACATCCAGCTCCTGGTAATCAACCAACTGAATGAAGGCACATATGTCACCCCAGGTGACCCCAGAAGAGGAACCATGCAGAAGATCCATCCCACTGAATGGTGAGACATGATTAATTTCTTTTGTTTTAAGCCATATATGTTGTAAAACAAAATATGATAGTTTGAGAAAACCCCTAAACACAATCAGTTTCTGAATTAAGAATATATGAAAGGATGAGTTTGTTTGTATGTTTGTATGTGTTTGTATGTATGGGCATTGTATGTGAGTAAAAATAATAGTGGGACATGATTAATATTTATTTAGCACCTCATGTGTGAAAGGCATTGTGAGATATCTTTATTTAAACCACTACATTTTATGTGTCTATTCTGATTTTGGTATCAGGGTTAACCAAAGAATGAATTAATTTCCCTCTTCCACTTTGGCACATAACAATTTAATTTTCTATATCAGCAGAGAAAATAACCCCATGGAAATAATCAAAAGAAAATATATATATAACTTTATAAAATGTTAACTTAAAAACTATTCCCAGACATAATAGGGAAAATCAAATAGATAAATTAAGGGGAAATATTTGCAACTTATATCTCAAAAATCTAAAGTTTATAAACTTAAAAAAAATTTTTCTAAAACAATGGGTGAAGTTCAAACACCCAATAAGTGGAAAAATATAACAACTAAAATTACAAATACTCATATCTAAAGGATGTGTGTTCAAGAAAAAAAGGATTCTTGAAGCCAAAATTGACATCATATATTTACTAACAAGGACTATTTTGTTAATTTATCCATCCATTCAAATGACACTGAGTAATGCTAATACCAGGAACCTGTATGCAGGTCAAGAAGCAACAGATAGAACCAGACAGGGAAAATATACTGGTTCAATACTGGGAATGGAGTATATCAAGGCTGCATATTGTCACCCTGCTTATTTAACTTAATTCAGAGTACATCACACAAAATGCCGAGCTGGATGAAGCACACGCTGGAATCCAGATTGCCAGGAGAAATATCAATAACCTCAGGTATGCAAATGACACCACCCTTATAGCAGAAAGCAAAGGAGAACTAAAGGGCCTCTTGATGAAAGTGAAAGAGGAGTGCAAAAAACCTGGCTTAAAATTCAACATACATAAAACTAAGATCATGGCGCTCAGTCCCATCACTTCATGGCAAATTCATGGAGAAACAATGGAAGTAGTGATGGACTTTATTTTCTTGGGCTCCAAAATCACTGCAGATGGTGACTGCAACCATGAAATTAAAAATTGCTTGCTCCTTAGAAGAAAACCTATGACAAACCTGGACAGCATGTTAGAAAGCAGAGACATTACTTTGCTGACCAAGGTCTGTCTAGTCAAATCTATGGTTTTTCCAGTAGTCATGTATGGATGTGAGAGTTGGACTATAAAGAAGGCTGAGCACCAAAGAATTGATGCTTTTGAACTGTGGTGTTGGAGAAGACTCTTGAGAGTCCCTTGGACTGCAAGGAGATCCAACCAGTCCATCCTAAAGGAGATCAGTCCTGAATATTCACTGGAAGGACTGATGCTGAAGCTGGTGCTCTGATGCTTTGGCCACCCAATGTGAAGAGCCAGCTCATTTGAAAAGACCCTGATGCTGGGAAAGATTGAAGGCAGGAGGAGAAGGGGATGACATAGGATGAGATGGTTGGATGGTATCACCGACTTGATGGGCGTAAGTTTGAGCAAGCTCCGGGAGTTGGTAATGAACAGGGAAGCCTGGCATGCCACAGTCCATGGGTTTGCAGAGTCGAACATGACTGAGCAACTGTACTGAGGAACTTTAAAATGAGCAAAACATAATTCTTCCCTGAATTTGTCCAGAGCCAAGTTGGAGCAGACAGAAAAACAAAATGATCAACACAATATAAGGGGTTAGTACTAAATCGTTTAGATTAATCAGCTGGTTCTGGAGTTTCTCCTTGCTCCCTTGACAAATTAAGAGGCCATGTTGGGAAAAAACTCATATAACAAGAAACTATGAGCAGTTTCTAGGAACTGAGGACAGCCTCCAACTGACAGCCAGCAAGAAACGAGGGCCATCAACCCTGCCAAAAGGAAATATGTTCTGCCAAAAACCTGTGGAGCTTCTTCAGAGAGGGGAAGAAGTGGATTTTCCCCCAGTTATTCCTCCAGATGAGAAAGCAGCGTAGCTAATACCTTGATTACAGACTTGCAGAAAATCCAGATAAGTTGTGTCCAGACTCCTGATCCATAGCAACGTTGGGATAATAGATGTATATTGTTTTAATCCTCTAAATTTGTGGTAATTGTCTAGCAAAAAGAGATAACTAATACAAGTGTGTATGATAAAATTAAATGAGTTTCTCTGTGTGGATAAATTAGGCCCTCAGATTAAAAAAAGTGTTTCCATAAGCAATTTTAAATCTATATTTGTCTACTTAATTTTCAACGGTCAGCATAACTTGCCTACTTTATGGCTCTCCATCATGGTTCGGCAACTCAAACCAACTTATGGAAATTGCCCTCAGCAATATATTCATGCAATATATTCTGATATTTTTCAGTGCCAAAAATCCTGGGTTCTTGAGTGCTATCTCTAGGACTATGGCTTAGTTGTCAACCAAAATGCCTTTTCTCTATTGCATTGATCTCTCGCCAGGAAGGTAAATTCCCCTGAATGCTTTGATCGATGTTAATTACAGAGAAATCTATTAACATAAAGGTAAATGCCATTTCCAAAAGCAGTGTTGCCAAGCATTATCAGAAATCTCTGAGAATCCAGGAGAAGTGGCTTCCAAAACCAAAGTCAAATGAATGGACTTCATTGTCAATCAACACCTTCTCAGGAAGCCCCTTTTGGTATCAGCTTTATTCAGTCTCCTAAGTGGTATTTGTTTAGCCTTCTGATATTTTGTGTTAGTTGTGAAGCTCTTCTAAGCTTCAGAGAAGATTATGAAAACTCAGAAGTAAGACCATTATCATTCAATATTCACCTGTATAAAAAAGCAACAAAGGCAGAAATCTGTAGAAAGGAAGAAAAAGGGACACATAAAGAACTCATGGGCTTCCCCACTGACTCAGATGGTAAAGAATCAGCCTGCAATGCGGGAGCCCTGGGTTCAATCCCTGGGTTGGGAAGATCCCCTGGAGGAGGGCATGGCAACCCACTTCAGTATTCTTACCTGGAGAATCCCCATGGGCAGAGGAGCCTGGCGGGCTACAATCCCTAGGGTTGCAAAGAGTCAGACAAGACTGTGTGACTAAGCACAAAGAACTCATTTCTCAGAATGTTACCATCCCACTGCCCCTGGACTATTACAATGACCTTCTCTTAGAAGTGACTATATGCTAAATATCTCTGTAGTCCTGCTCCAAGGCACAATACTGATGCTAGTAGGCAATCTAGTGTTTCTTTAACTGTGGTCAGAGAATGGAAAATTCTTCAAACTATATGAGGATTCATACATACAAGTATATGTATTTCTCAGGCATAGTTGTAGGAGTTGGTTCTGATTTCATGAAAGATATAAACCTTGAACTGGGTTTCATGTGAAGTGTAGGATTTAGAGAGAGAG